CTAAAGGATATAACTGCAAGTATATTTAAATGTGTAGGATAGAAAACCATATTATGGAGTTTTTGTTGGATCATTGAACAGAACTTTCTGTAATCTCACTGTATTAATGTCCATTTTGTATGCTTTAATTTTATAATCTGGACAACTGTTTCTGAGATGACAATGTGTAATCTATTAACTAGTGAATTCTTACAGTATATTTTTTCTCTTGAAATTCTGTATTACTTGTAGCCTTTTACTGTTTTGCTTTGTTTAGTTTTGTTTTTCTCTTTAAATAAAAAAAAAATAGCTGGATATACTATGGTAACCATTTTTAATTTCCTATTAACTTAATCTAAAGCTCTGTATTACTTACACTGTCTCATTATGACTGAATTTATTTGAATCTGGTTTGTTAGATTTCTGTCTTGTCTTAACTGATTTTGTTTGAACCTGTTCTGTTTGATAGGATCAAGTCTTGAGAGTATAGGCAACTACTATGAAGACAGTAAGACTCACTAGGATACCCATTCTGGTTTGACTATTACCCGCTTTTGAAGTCCTATGATGTCGCCAATGCTTTGTTTTTATTGATTTTATTCGGTACTGCTATGTTAAGCTTTACTGTGCCTGATGATATGGACAATTCTATTGATGATAACAAGAGACATTATGATAAACATTGTAGATCACCTTGTATTGTGATTTTCTTTTCTTTTTTTTTTTCCATTTTTATCGGTACCGGGATCGAACTCACAAACATCTGCTTGCAAGGCAGGTGCTTATGCCACTGTGCTAAATCCCCAGCCCCTGTATTGTGGCTTTCAATCATGTACTATATCCATCCTTTTCTTTTGAATGACCTTATTTTGTTTTCTTTTTCAAACGATTTTGCCCTAGATAGGACACTACAGCAGTGAGAGGCGGGACCAAGGGACCTTTACCTTGAGATTATTTTCCCTGCCCCTGGGCCATTTACCTGGGGTGTGAAATGAATTCCAGTGGGCTGCTTGGGCATCAGTGATGCCTCTTTAGGTACCACCCCAGACCAAAGCTATATATATACCCCCCAAACCATGTGTCCAGCAGAGAAAGCCAAACCCCGGCAGTCATGGAGTTTCTCTCCACATCCTTAAAATAAAGATCACTTTACTTTATATTCTGTCTTCTAACCATGCCAAAATTCCTATCGCATTCTCATTTGGTTTTATTCTGTTAAAAAAAAAAAAAAGAAATTAATGCAATTGAAACTGAAAAAACAATGCAAAGAATTAATGAATCAAAAAATGGTTTTTTGAGAGAATAAACTAAATTGATAAACTTCTGGCTAAACTTAACAAGAAAAAGAAAGAAAAGACCCAAATTCATGCAATAAGGACTGACAAGAAGGAGATTATCACAGATCACATGGAAATTCAAAAGATCACGGATACCTATTTTGAAACCCTCTACTCACAAAGGATGGAAAATACAGAGGAAATGGAGAGATTTCTAGAAACATAAGTACTACGAAAGTTCAATCAAGAAGATACAGCAATTTTGAACAACCCACTGTCAGCTATTGAAATTGAAAATGTGATCAAAACTTTAAAAACAAAAAAAAGCCCAGGTCCTGATGGATTCACGGCTGAATTCTACAAGAAATATAGAGAAGATTTGATGTCAGTACTCCTTAAAGGCTTCAATGAGATTGAAAAGGAATCCTCCCTAAATCATTCCTGTAGGCAAGTATATCTTTGATGGCAAAGCCAGAAAAAGACCCAACTAAACAGAACTATAGACCAATTTCATTAATGAACATTGATGCAAATATTTTATTCTCAATAAAAATACAAATAGAATGCAACAAATCATCAAGATGATTAAACATCACAACCAACTAGAATTCATTCCAAGAATGCAGGGATGGTTTAGCGTACGCAAATCAATAAATGTAATACACCACATCAACAGAGCCAAAAACAAAAACTACATGATCATCCCAATAGAGGCAGAAAGAGCTTTTAATAAAGTCCAACATTTGTTCATGATAAAAACCCTTCAGAAACTTGGAATACACAGTATCTACCTCAACCTCATCAAGGCTTTCTATGACAAACCAACAGCCTACATTATACTAAATGGACAAAAACAAAGCTTTCACTCAAAAATCAGGAACAAGACAGGGATGCCCACTATCACCACTCCTATTCAGTATAGTTCTGGAAATACTAGTCAGAGCAATCAGATGAGAAATAAAAGGAATAAAGAAAGGAAAGGAAGAAGTTCAATTATCAGTATTTGCAGATGACAAGATACTCTAGATAGAAGGCCCAAAAAACTACATTAAAAGACTACTAGAAGTAGTAAACCAATTCAGCAGTGTAGCTGGATACAAAATCAATGCTCAAAAATCAATAGCAGTTATACACACAAACAAAAACTCACTGAGAGAGAAATTATGGAAATATCACCTTTCAAAATAGCCTCTTAAAAAATGAGATACTTAGGAATCAACCTAACCAAGAATGTAAAATACCTATATGTTGAAAATTATGCTATACTAAAAAAGGAGGTTGAAGAGGATATTGGAAAATGGAAGGATATTCCTTGCTCTTGACTAGGAAGAACAAACATTGTGAAAGTGGCCATACTCTCAAAACTATTATACACATTTAATGCCATCCCGATCAAAATACCATTAACATATCTTACAGATCGAGAGAAAACACATCTAAAATTCATTTGGAAACATAAGAAACCTAGACTAGCAAAGACAATTCTGGGCCACAAAGGCAAGGCATGAGGCATCTCAATTCCTGACTTTAAACTGTACTACAATGCCACAGTGGTAAAAATCAGCATGATATTGTCAAAGAAATAGACTTGAGGATCAATGGAACAGATTAGAAGATGCAAACACAACTACAAGGACATTTGGCCATCTGATATTTGGAAAAGGGGCTAAACATGTTTACTAGAAGAAGGATAGCCCCTTTAATAAATGGTGTTGAAAAAATTGGCTTTCCATGTGCTGAAGACTGAAACTACATCCATGCCTATCACCATGCACTAAAGTCAAAATGGATTAGAGATCTAAATATTAAAACAGAAACACTAAATCTACTGGGAGACAAAGTAGGTAGAAGTCTTGGAGATATAGGGGTAGGCAGAGAATTCATGAACAAAATGCAAACTGCACAGGAAACACTTCAATGAATGAACAACTGGAATCATATTATTAAAATGTTTTTGCACTTCAAAAGAAATTAGGAACAGAGTGAAAAGAAAACCCACAGAATGGAAAAATATTTTACGTAGTGACCCATCAAACAAGGACTTATATGAAAAACATATAAAGGCCCCCCAAATTCAAAGAACCTCTCCAAAAATGGGCCTCTGAGATGAACACACATTTCTTAAGTGAAGAGATACACAGGGCAAATGAACACATGAAGAAATGTGAACCAGTACTGTTCATTCAAGAAATGCAAATGAAAATATCATTGAGATTTCATCTGACTCCAGAAAGAATGGCTGCCATCAAGAAATCAACTGATAAAAATGTTGTCAAGGCTGTGAGAAAAAGGAACATGTCTCCACTGTTGGTGGGAATGCAAACTGTTGCATCCACTGTGGAAATCAATATGGAGATTCCTCAAAAATCTAGGGTTGAAAGTTTCATTCAATCCAGGTATTCCCCTCCTGGGTATTTTCCCAGAAAAGTTGAAAAGGTCATGTGACAGCAATATATTGTGCACCCATGTTTATAGCAGTGCAATTTGTAATAGCTAAATCTTGGAAATAACCAAAATGCCCATCAACTGCAGAGCAGATGAAAAAGATTTGATACTTTTATACAATGGAATATTACTCAGCTATAAAAAAGGATGGTCTTGAGGTCTTTATAGGTAAATGGAGGCAACTAGAGACTATCCGCATAAGTGAAATAAATAAGAATCATACATAGATATGATATATATATATATATATATATATATCACATTGTCTCTCTGGTGTAAACAGTGATAAAAACTGTAGGAGTAATAAGTTCCCAAAGGTATAATAGCTATTGTAAAAAAAAGAGAAAGAGAAGGAAAGTGTTCTAAAGCATATCATTGCATGTATGTTTAAGTGTATAAGATAGATAACCACATTACTGAGTGTTTGTTGGCTCATTGAGCAGAACAGTTTGCACTCATTGATTGATTGCACACTTTCTATGCTTCAATTTTGGGACTTGAACAACTATCTCTAAGATGACAATATATAATTTATCAACTAGTATATTCTTAGCATTAATGTCTTCTAAAATTCAGCATTACTTTTACCCTTTTTTCTGTTTTGCTTTTCTTTTTCTTTAAATAAAACACTAAATTTCCAGTTGTTATTTGGAATTTTGACACATTCTCAATACGTAGACCCAACTAATTTGAAGGTTTTATTCTCCTGTCACAGCATCGCAGAATGATGTGATCACAGTGGTGGGTCACAATATTCCATGATGATAGAGCTCAGTAACATTGAGCACAATATATTGTTTTGCATCAAAAATGTAATTTTTACTGTTGAGAATGTGCAAGGGCCATTTTGAAAGGCATTCTTGGTGACTTCTTCCTCTGGATAAGTATCCAAATTTGAGATTATTTATGTGTTGTATAAGTTTTTATTGAAGGACAGAATCTAAGACTATAATTTTTCAAGCTGTAGGTATGTCCACTCCTTTTTGTCACAATCCACCATGAAGCAGCCTTCTTTTTTTGTTTGTTTGTTTTTGTTTTTGCTACTCCGTTTCATTGTTGTTGTTTTTTTTTTTTTTTCAGTCAGAGTTTCACTATATACATAATGCTGACGTTGAACTCACTCTGTAGTTCAGTTGTCTGGAACTCATGTGGATCCCCTTGTCTCAGCCTCCTGAATGCTGGGATTACAGAGATGTACACCACACTTTGCTCTCGGTTATACTTTTTATGAGAGGAGTTCAGATAGTCCAGGCTATTAGTCTCAATCTTCCTTCAAGAAATGTATGTATGATCTTTTAGGAGTCAGTAACCTTTGAGGATGTGGCTGTGAACTTCACCCCTGAGGAGTGGACTTTGCTGAGTCCATCCCAAAAGAGGCTCTACAGAGATGTGATGGGAGAAATCTTTAGGAACATGGTGACTGCAGGTGAGGATGACATCTCTTTCTTACTTATACATAGGATATTGCTTCTTGCTCTTCATGCAGTTTCATTCAATAGAATTGAAAACAATTAGAATATCTCTGTCCTGTTTACATGATATCATGAATCTAAATGGCATCAGTTAGTTTTTATGTAATAATGTAGTGACTCCTTATACTTCTCTGTCTGTAATTCAGGAAGACACTTGAATAACCAGAAAGTGGAAGAAGAGTACAGTAACTATTGCAGAAATCTAAGGTAATTTGCATTTACTAGGAAAAGAACAGTCCTTAAGAGACCACATCAGGAGAAACATGAAAATTAATAAACTGACACCATCTTCAAATTTATTTTATTTCACAAATACTCTCCAAAAATACATGTAACTTTAGTATATATAATCTGAAAACTAAACACAAAAGTATTCCAACATATGAAACTGAATTACAACTGAAATCATAGAAATGATACTATCTGATATGCAACATAAAAATGTTCCTTTATCATCAACATCATGAATATGGATGTTGCATTTAGGTGTTTTCTATAGATGTAGATGAGATGTGATAGATAAAGAAGAATGATATTTTACAGATGAGAAAGACAAACAGGATAAGAGTAGAATATGAAGAGTGAATGGGAAAAGTATTAAAAATAATCAATATGTGCTATACATAAGCATAAGTTGCTCAAAATAAAACTAAAATTATGCTATTATAAAATACACTTAAAAATTCCCAATTATATACCACATTTAGAGAAAAGCTGTCTGAAAAAATCCTATGCATTCAATTCATTATCAAATTTTTCAGCATGCATCAAAAGATAATGTGTTCTGTTGAATCATTAATATGGAGAGCCATTTGATTCTAACTTGTTTTTCTCTTTATAGAAATGAAGAGGTTGAGAAATGCCATCAATCTAAAACCTGCAGTCTGCATAAAAAAAGCTTCCTTTGCACTCAAGATGCTAATGCCCATATGAAACAATATGGTTTAAAACCAATGGAAAGTCTTTTTTACAGAATGTCCCTAATTGGGCATTTGTCACTAAATTTGCCCATCAGAGTTCACACTGCACTGAAGCCAGATGAGTATTTGGAATCTGAAGGGAAGCTGCTTAAAAGTAATGAAAATAAAATAAACTGTGATAGTTTACAGTCATTTCAAAATAATGCAAGTGCAGAGACTGACAAGAAACCATATGAATGTGATCAGTGTGAGAAATCCTGCTGTGCTCTTAGTGAAACAGCTCATCTTAGAGACAAGGCCTTTGTATATCAGAAAAGTTCGAATGCCTCCAGCAAAACTACTGATATTGAGATTTATCAGACAAATCACATTAAAGATATACCCTCTGCAGATGAGCAATATAGGAAAGATTTTAGCATGCATAGTATTTTTCAACGTGAAAAAATTGAGATGGAAGAGAAAAAGTATGTATATAAGCAATGTAGGAAAGTTTTCAGAACAAAAGCTAATTGGCAGAGACATGAAAGAACTCACACTTGTGAGAAACCTCATGTATGTAAGCAATGTGGGAAAACTTTTGGCACACAGGAGCATTGTAAAAGACATGAAAGAACTCACTCTGTAGAGAAACCTTACATATGCATGCAATGTGGGAAAGGTTTCAGTTCACAGAGTTACTGTAAAATACATGAAAGAATTCACACTGGAGAGAAACCTTACATATGCATGCAATGTGGGAAAGGTTTTATTTCACGGAGTTATTGTAAATTACATGAAAGAACTCACACTGGAGAGAAACCATATGTATGTAAGGAATGTGGGAAAGCTTTCAACACATCTGGTGTTTGTAAAACACATGAAAGAACACACACTGGAGAAAAACCTTATGTATGTAAGCAGTGTGGGAAAGCTTTCAGTACACATCATATTTGTCAAAAGCATGAAAGACTTCACACTGGAGAGAAACCCTATGTATGTAAGCAGTGTGGAAAAGCTTTCAGCACATATGGTGTTTGTAAAGTACATGAAACAACTCACAATGGAGAGAAACCTTATGTATGTAAGCAATGTGGGAAAGCTTTTGCTACACATAGTATTTGTCAAAGGCATGAAAAAATTCACACTGGAGAGAAACCATATGTATGTAAACAGTGTGGGAAAGCTTTTAGCACACGCCATGAATGTCAAAATCATGAAAGAATTCACACTGGAGAGAAACCCTATGCATGCAAGGAGTGTGGGAAAGCTTTCAGCACACGTCGTTATTGTCGAAATCATGAAAGAATTCACACTGGAGAGAAACCCTATATATGTAAGCACTGTGGGAAAGCATTCAGCACACGTTATTGTCGAATACATGAAAGACTTCACACTGGAGAGAAACCCTATGTATGTAAACAATGTGGGAAAGACTTCAGCACAAACAGTCAGTATCAAATACATGAAAGAATTCACACTGGAGAGAAACCCTATGTATGTAAGCAATGTGGGAAAGCTTTCAGCCATTCCAGTAGATGTAAAATACATGAAAGAATCCACACACAGGAGAAACCTTATATATGTAAGTGTGGGAAAGCCTTTCTATGGAGGTATCAATATCAAAGACATGAAAAACACCACATTTCAGAGAAAACATGTACATAATCAATTTGGGAAATCTTTCAGCAGAAACAATCATTGTCAAAACCATGAAAGGACTCGCACTGGAGAGAAGCTATATGCAGGTGAGCAATTCAGAAAAGCTTTCAGCACAAATAATTATTGTCAAATACATGAAAGAAGCCACAGTATAAAAGCCTATGTATGCAAGCAAGTAGAAAGAAATTTCCTAAGTCTTCATTACATAGACACTAAGAAACTCATTGAGAAGCCCTATGTGCATAAGCCATATGGAAGACATTTCAGTACACACACATTGTCAAACATATGACTATATTTTATGTCATGTAGAAGTGTCACTGTGAAGAAGCTATGTATTCAAGGCTATTTTGAAAAGTCTGTAAGACTGTATTTGAAAGACTATGTAAGACTATGTTTACCAAAAGCTTTTGCACATACATTGCTTACATACATAAGGTTTCTCTCTACTGTGGATTCTTTCATGTATTTTACAAACACCATATGTGCTGAAAGTTTCCCACATAGTTCCATTTAGTAAAATCCTTTATAAACAATACAAAAAGTGTTTTATGTCAGTGTTTCTTCACAAATATCCCAAAAAAATCATATCCTAGATGAAGATATCTGAAAGTACCTACATAATGTGGTTTTTATTGTCACATTTGTGCAGTGTTTAATCAGTTGCTATAATGAGGTGTTTTTATCTGAGTGTCTGAGCTTACTGCATAGTGTCCAAATTAAGCATGGCTGGTTAAATGTATTTTTTGCTTTCAACTACAGTTAGTGTTTGTACTTTTTATTTTAACTTTAATTTTGAGAGGCATAGAGCTTTAAAAATCTTAACTTTGTAATTTTTGCTATTGAATTTTTCAGTTTTTCTTTTCAATTGTTTGTGTGTTTTCTTTATTCTATGAAAAAAGGATATTTTTAGCTTGATTCTATATTTCATATTGATACATATTTTCAAAGATTGAACATGAGATTTTGACAAAGTTGAATTGTTTTCACACAACTTGTAGATTAGCAAATTTTGTTTTTCATGTGACATGACAAGATACCTGCTTGTATACCAACATCGCTGTATATTGTGTCATGAAAATATGTTGCATATTTTTCAATATGGTAATTCCTATAAGGTTTTAACTTTTCACACAAAATTTTTCATGTTTAAATGGCAATGTTAGTTTGCTTCACTGGTATTTTTTAAACCACATATATCAAACAGAAACCATACTGCTCTGTGTTTGTCATTGCCAGAATCCCACTATTACAGAATTCAAGATATCAAAGAGACCTAATTGGAAAAAGAAGTGTGTATTGGGTTTTAGATGCACACTGGCTCAGTATGATCTTATGATGTCAAAGATGATTGAGTACCAAAACAAAGGAAAGACACTAGTTTTATACATTTAGTTAGGGTTGAGAAATGGGATGGTGGCCATCAAGGTCGCAGAAACAAGACAGCAATTTATGACAGCCTTGAAAGAAGACAGAACTTTGTGAATCCGCTGGGAATAAGATGACATAAACTCTTCGCAGTACATAGTTGTCAATCTTTCCTCTACCAGAATAACAACCTATAGCCTCCAGCGAAGAAGGGGAACTTTGAGGGAGATTCCTCTAAGTTCCACTTCATCACATAACCATAACTGTCTCTTAAAGGAAATCATGATGTACAGTTATCTTTCCACAAAATATAAATTATGGCATAGCACCAATAAGAACATTTTGAATGGAATGTTCAACATCTTTTGAATTTTTCTGGGAAGCATGGTTGCTACTGAATGTAATAAGGCAAATGGCTTTGTTCTATTCCCTGATGCTTTGATTTTATAATATCTTTGATAATCATTGTTTTTACATATGAAGCTAAGATACTGGCATACAGAAAAATCAAACTCCTGAGATGTATCATTCAGTTCATTAAAATGAGAAAACTTTGAAATTATTGTTTATACTGTGTTCTTGTCTACTTTGGGACACATTTATACAATGGTACTTTTCATTGTTCATAAGGTCCATCCTCTAATCTTTAATGTATGTGGTAAATGCTTTCAAACACATTTGTGTAAGGTGTATATATGAGTCTCAGTTGGATTCCTGTTCTTATTTTTTATAATTTAACATGGAAATATTTTGTGAAGTGTTTCATACTGTGTTGTCTAATACAAAATATGTAACTGTGTTCTCTAATACAAAAACTGCTTAAAATCTGATAGGATTGCATTTTTTCAAACCTATGATATGAAAACATAACAGTGCCTTATGAACAGTGCATTAAATACCCATAATGTAATGAACAGTATAAATTATCCAAGCCATAATTATGGTTAGATACATAAATTACTAGTTGTATTGGGTTATATAAATTACATCTACTTTATATATAAGTTATCTACTTCACAGAATATAATACACTGCAGAGCATTGGTCAATTTTTACAACCCACAATGTGTGGCTTACTCCCCTGCCACATATATTGCTTACCATAACCAACAAGACATGTTGCTTTGCTATATCAGTATACCAATAAAGGAAAGAAAAGACTCATATTCATTCACTTACCAATGAAAAGAGTGAAATCAACAGACCTTTTAGAAATTACAAATATCGGCACATACTTTGAGATATTTTACCTTTATATGGAAAATATAAGAAACAATCAGATTCCCAGATATATATGAGTCAGCAAAGTTGAATCAAAAAGATAGAATTCTGAGTGACCCAATCTCAATCAATGAAATTGAAATTTATTTCTGTTTTGTTATGTAAAACAGGGTTTGACTAGTCCAGGCTGGGTTTGTCCTCACTGTGTAGTCCAATCTGGACTCAAACATTTCTCATCCTGCCTCAGCCTCAAGAGTTCTGGAATTACAGACATGTGCCAGCAGGCCTGGCTGAAAATTCAAAAATGCAATTTAAAATGTAGCAATAAAGAAAACCCAAATCCTGTTGGATTCACTGTTGAGTTGCCCAAGAAATTTAGAGAAAATTTGTGAAACTTTAATGAAATTGAAAGGGAAGCAATATTCCCAAAGTAAGTCCTAGAAGTGATTATCACCCTGCTCCTAAAAGCAGAGAAGGATCCAACCAGAAAAACACATCTACAGGCAAATCTCCCTAAGGAACATTCAAAAATTCTCAACAACATACTGGAAACCAGAAGGCAGCAAATCATCAAGAAGATTAAACACCGTGAACAAGTAGGGTTCATCCTAGGTATGCAGAAATGGTTAAACATATGTAAATCAATAGAAGTAATACACCATGTTAATGAAAATAATAAAAATATCAACATAAAAGCCATTTGACAAAGTCTGATATCTATTTACTATAACACTACAGTAAATTGGAATAGATGTTCTTTATCTCAACCTGGTAAAAGCTGTCTAATGCACTTGATACACTGTATCAAATTGTGAAGTTTACAAGGCTGAGAGACTCAGCAGGGAGCCAGGGTTTTTCCTTTGTAAATATCCTCATCTTGTGCAAGAGGAAGGCAAAAGGATTTTGTGAGTGCTGGACCTGCCCTGAAAGTGAAGGTAGCTTGTATACAATCTAAGACAAGAAAGACTTGCTCTTCCTCCTGTTTTGTGGTAGCTACACTTTTGCTCTGAGTGCTGCCTTGAGCTGTTACTCCTGTGCCTTGCACCGTGCCTTTAGCCAGCTGATTATGGACTGAAACCTCTACAAAAAGTAAGCTAAAGAAACCTTCCTTCATTTATGGTATCAAGTGTTTTCTCCCCAAAATGACAGAAAAATAATATTAACCAAGACACCACCTATGGTAATCCAACAGGAATATTAAATTAAATGGTGAAAAATGGAAAGCTTGCCCTCTAAAACCAAGAACAGGACAAGGATATCTGCTATCAAAATTCCTATTCAATGCAGATCTAAAAATATTACTTAGAGCAATTAGACAAAAATAAAATGAATAAACTAGAAAAACAGGAAGTTAAATTATTATTTGCAGGTGATATACTCTACAAAGATGACCACAAAAACTTGAAAAGAGGGCCAAGAATTTAGCTCAGCAGAATAAGCACCTGCCTGGCAAGATAGCTGGCTCACTAATATTAAAGTCTCCCCAGGAAATGTGTATTTTTATAGATGTCTTCTATGTGGAGAAAGCTCTTGGTTTTTGTACCTGTCCCAAGATTCTTCATTCCCAATTTCTTAAGGGTGAGATGTTGCCATCATTTTGACTCAGTCTCCAGCTTTTTTGTGTTGGATAATGGTGATGTTTATGAAAACAGATAGTCATAGTAATGTTATAGAAGTCAGGACAACTTATTACAAGTATCACATACTGGCTAATGTATTACAATTGGCAATAGAAATAGTGTCATGCACAGCCTACAAACTTTCAAATTGTGATAAATCTTGTCTTCATATCATTAACCATAAGGGTCAGAAATGCAGTTCTATAAATATAAAAACATAAATCAGGAATTTGTATGCAATGAGTTTCCTCTGAGTAGAATGATTTTTCTCTATAGTGGAAAGATTTAGGAGAGAAAAACAGATGAAAAGAAATGTCATCACAAAAGTGAAGGACATAGGATGATTATGCAAGCTTTATGAAGTTGGAGAAGAGGGTAGGAGACAAACAACAAAGGAGAAAGCAAAAGATTATAGAAGTGAATCAAAAAGGTTAGGCCTTCAATTCTCTTTTCACTTTCATTGAGGGAAGAGGGAAAAAAGACAAGTAGAATAGAACAAAAAATATGTATAAATCTTATGCTGTCTGGCTCCTAACAAACTCTGTTAACTATTTACCTGATACCTTTAAGCATAGGAGCAAAATCTAAAGTTGTGTAACAAAATCCAACATATACAAGGAAATTGTAGCAATTATTTTCCCCTTAATGGATTAATTTTACCCTGTTGTGTGGGGACTCAAAGGCATAGGGGATAAGATAGAGAGATGAATAATGTCAAATCACCCAAGTTTAGGGAAACTGGATGGAGCACACTGGAGAGAAAGAATGGAAGCAAAAGCAGAGGAGTTTTGAAGTGAGTCAGAAAGAGAAGAGAAAATGTTTACTCATATGAAAGTATCACAAAATTAAGCTAGACTTTTCCAGAAAGAGAGAAAGAGGATGATTAGTAAGAAAAAAAGTTAAAAATCTAGGTCATAAAAAAAGTCAAGAAAACAAGACCAAAACTGAAAAAAAATAATCCTAAACTTAAAACTAGGTGAGCCTTTTTGAATGCAGACTAGACAGAATCAGGAGGGAAACTAAGTCCCCAACTGTGAGACAACCAGAGCAAAGAAAGGAGAGAGCCAAGAAGGAAGGTAAGCTTCCATCTGTGAGCCAGGTGGAGCACCATGCAGGAAGAACCAGCAAGGAAGCTAAGCCCCTGCCTCTGAGCCAGTCAGAGCACAGACGTAAGAAAACCAGAAAAGAAGCTAAGCCCCTACCTATAAGGTAGCCAGCACACAAGCTGGGAGAGAAGAATGGCTCTGTGAGCAAATCAGCAATTTAGAGTAACTATACTGTTTGTCCTTGGAAGTCTAAAGCTGGTAGTCTGAGCACTATGTAGGGGACAACAATAAGCAATAGAGTAACTATTGTAAATTTCCTACTGTTTTATCACTGTTTCAATTTGTTCTATAGTTCTGTGTTATTCCCTTTAAAATTAAGTTTAAAAAGCAAAACTAGACCAAAAAAAAAAAAACAGAAAAACTCTAATCAGGCAGAAAAAAAACATCAATCCAACTGAGAAAAATAAAAATAGTAATATCCCTCTAGTGTCTACTGTAGGGAGCGGTATATCTCACTGCTGCACCTTATCTCGCCCTCCTGTGGGCCTCTGATGCGTCTGCCTACATTTCCCATGATCCTCATGTCTGCCTACATTACCCATAATTCTCTCCTGCTCACATACTTTTGCTTCCGCTAAACCTAGTTGCCTACACATGGTTTCCTGCTAATCTGATAAGTCCACGTCATATGAGGAGATCTAAACTGACCTGTCCTATAAAGCCACGTTCCCTTGGACTTTGTATAAGCCATGTACACTTCCTGAATAAATGAGACTTGATTGGAATCTCATCTTGTCTCCATCTCTGTTTCCTCTTGCCCTGCCCCCCATCCCTGTTCTCTCTCCAGGCAAGACCCACGGACTGATCCGCGGGCAGGATCAGTCTACAGCTCTGCAGTAGATCCAAGTCAGAACCTAGAAATATGTTGTTTACCCCAAAAAATTTTGCAGTGGGATTCATGCAGGGCATCCCCTGCTGCCCATTCTGTTCCACATGTTGGTGTGCCAAAGTTCAGGGCTGATTCATCCAATTAACCAACTGCTGGCTCACATTCTTATTGCTGCTTCAGACTTTTCCATTATACTTCTCTCAGTGTCCATCATGTGTGCCCCTTCAGGGGCCTTGCTGAGTCACTGGCTTCCTACGTGTACTGCACTCCATGTGCTCTCACACATGGCCCTTGCTGGGTCACAGGGTAGCTGTTTAGGCCAGGGTGGTACCCTTTCCAGGCTCTTGTTGTATTTATTATTAATAACAAAGTAAATTTAGAAAATGATGAAAATTGAATCATTTTATGAAATATGATTGTGACTCAGTATTATGGTTTGTGTTTCAATGTCCTCCCAAAGCCTCATGCAATTTGATATTGGAATTTTTCAGAATTTTGTTATCGATTCATGGTTCAATGATAAGATTAAGTATTATAGGGTGAAGTGTGTTTAATTGCTCTATCAGTTCCCTGATTAGATTTGTATTGCCCTAATCCTGATGGTCTGGATAAAATAAAAGGAGCAAAATGAGACTGGTTCCCTCTTTCTTTCTTGTTGATTTTTATATCTTCTACCACCATAAAAGTCTATCCTCTACCAAGCTACTTGCCTTAGTGGCAGGAAATTATGGACTGAAACATCTACAAACTGAGAGCTAAATGAAACTTTATCTGTTTATTTATT